TTCTCCCATGGAGCAGCTGGTGGGTTTGAACGACTGACCTTTTGGTTAGCAGCTGAGTGCTCTAACCACTGTGCAACCAGGGTTCCTTTATTTGTAGGTATAAAAATCAGAAACCAAACCCATTGTGATTGCGTTGATTCCAACTCATAGAGACCCTATAGGACAGAGTAGAACTGCCCTGTAGGGTTTCCAAGGAATGGCTAGTGAATTCGAACTCTTAACTACTGCACCACCAGGGCAGGTATAAGGATCAGAATTTCAATATATATTTTGGGGAACATGATTCAATCCATAACAGTTGCCTTCAGAGAGGTTACAACTTCCTTAATATTTCATTTCTTTGTTTACTAAGTTCCACAAAGTCAAAAACCAAGTCTGTCTTGTGCATCACTGACAACCCACTGCCTAGCACACTGCATAGCACATACTGAATAGTCCGTAAATATTTGTTGAAACAACTGATTCATAAATATGCAAGTCCTCCATTTTATAGATGAGGAAGTTGAGGTTAAAATGACACGGAAGTAACAGGAAAGCCAAGCTTCCAAAAATCCTCCCAGAACCCTTGCCAGGGCATTAAATCCTGTCACAGGACGCTGCCACCATATTGAGAAACTCTCTTTTCCCGACTTTATATTCTGCCCTCTTGATCCAGCACCCTTGGGGTCTACTTCCATGCATATTCTCTGGGTTCCTGCTGGTATATGCCAGCCACATCCTGTAATTCCTTGGCCATATATTCCTCTCCTTTCTTAACAGACTCTGCCCTTACGTAGTTGAGTCATGCTGAAAGATTTGATCCTAGTACTGGCTGGTGGCTGGGAAAGAAGCAAGTAAATATTCTGAGCAGGGCAAGCACTGTTTTGTAAGACTCCTGCCTCTTTTGAAGTTTCTACATAGTTTTCTAGCAAGGGGAGGGGCTTCTATCTTTTAACAAGGGAGAGTGGGCCACCTGTGTAGCCCCAGAGTGTTCAGCAGAAGCTGGATGATCAAAGTCTTCACGTGTGTAACAGATATCTCCACCCCAGGTCTCTTGGTGTTACTCTTTTCCTTTCAGGGCCCTGAATGTTAAAGGAGATTTTCCCATACATTCTGCCGCTCTTAATCAAGGCCTGTGCCTGATCTTCGGCTTGGTCTGCCCTGTGGCTGCTAGTGATGAGGGTCTCTTTAAAAGCTTCCAAGGAGGCCCTTTGACTCTCACACTTGAGTTTAAATTGGTACTTAATAGATCTGATCTTATCATTTATCCTTCTCAGTACTTCAGTGGTACTTAGCAACAGCCGCCCAATTCCGGGATCTTCCAAGTTACTCTTCCTCCTGTACTATCAAATACCAGATACACTGTTGTTGTTAGGTGCTGTGAAGTTGGTTCCAACTCATAGCAACTCTATGAACAACAGAAAGAAACACTGCCCAGTCCTGTGTCATCCTCACAATCGTTGTTATACTTGAGCCCATTGTTGTAGCCGCTGCGTCAATCCATCTGGTTGAGGGTCTTCCACTTTTTTGCTGATCCTCTACTTTACCAAGAGGGATGTACTTCTCCAGGGACTGGTCCTTCCTAATAACATCTACATAGAACATGAGACGAAGTCAGGCCATCCTTGCTTCTACGGAGCATTCTGGCTGTACTTCTTCCAAGACAGGTTTATTCATTCTTCTGGCAGTCCATGGTTTATTCAATACTCTTCACCAACACCATAATTCAAAGGCATCAGTTCTTCAGTCTTTTTTGTCTATTGTCCAGCTTTCTCAGGCATATGAGGCAATTGAAAACACCATGGCTTGGGTCAGGCACATCTTAGTCCTCAAAGTGACATCTTTGCTTTTTAACACTTGAAAGTGGTCTTTTGCAGCAGATTTGCCCAATGCAATATGGCATTTGATTTCTTGACTGCTGCTTCCATGGGTGTTAATCCTGGACTAAGTGAAATGAAATCCTTGACAACTTCAATATTTTCTCCATTTATCATAATGTTGCTTATTGGTCCAGTTGTGAGTATTTTTGTTTTCTTTATGTTGAGGTGCAATCCATACTGAAGGCTGTAGTCTTTTATCTTCATCAATAAGTGCTTCAAGTCCTCTTTGCTTTCAGCAAGCAAGGTTGTGTCATCTGCATACTGAAGGTTGCTGATGAGTCTTCCTCCAGTCCTGATGCCACATTCTTCTTCATACATTCCAGCTTCTTGGAATATTTGTTGAGCATATAGATTGAATAAATATGGTGAAAGGATACAACCCTGATGCACACCTTTCCTGACTTTAAACCACGCAGTATCCCTTTGTGCTTTTCGAACAATTGCCTCTTGATCTATGTACAGGTTCCTCATGAGCACAATTAAGTGTTCTGGAATTCTCATTCTTCATAATGTTATCCATAATTTGTTATAATCCACATAGTCGAATGCCTTTGCGTAGTCAATAAAACACAGGTAGATAAAACCAGATACATTACACAAGCTAATGCATCCCCTTTTATCTATACCCGGTCTCGGTACCCCAAGTGACAGTGTTAAGCAATTGCACTGCAGCAGCAAGCTAGAGACTATCTCCAGTGAAGAGGCCCTCGTTGCCAGCTGACTGGTGAATGAGCAAACTCCCGAATCTCATCCTTAGGCTCAGATTTATAGGACTACTCCTGGTATCAACTTTCTTAGGTTGGGCCCTTGAAACAAATCCTGAGACCTAGATTCCTGCCCAAGTGTTTGCTGAAGGAGTGCTCTCAGAAGAAGAGAACTTGGGAAGCAGAATAGGACAGGAAAAGAATCTGGCAAAGATGTGGATTCATCTGAAGACTAGCCTCAACCTGATCCCACAGGGAGTTATGGAGCATGAGTGGCACAACCATATCACTCACTCATTGGCTATGAGCTACCCCTGGGGAAAGAGGATAACTTTCCAGCATTTCCTGGTCTTGTTGGCTGAAGTTGGTCCTCAGAAGGGGGTGAGCTAAGAACAGTCAATACTATCAGTGGCTGGGGGATGCATGCAGGGGCCCATTACAGAGATTCTGGCAGAGCTCCAACAGATCGTTTCTAAGGATGTACTTAATAAGGACATGAGCTTAGAAGGAAGGAGTCAGATGCAAGAAGAAACAGTTAAGCCAAGAAATTTTTTAACATCTGGGTATATCTAAATAAGCAATCTTATAAGTAACAATAACAGGATTAACTTGGGGATGGAGGATAACTATAAGGTAGAATTAAAACAATAAACATAAATAGGGAATATGGGACTAGTCAGTATTAAAGGATTCTAAAGCCCTTATATTCTTATTTTTTGAGGTGAAGGGTAAAGATATTTGTTAAATTTAGACTTTATTGAGTCAAGTTATGCTTGTTAAAAATGTAATGGAGGGTATACAGAGTAGATTGAACACATGCATCAAATTTGCCATCCCCAAATCCAATTAAAATGACAGTGATTTTTTTTAAGGCAGGGGAAATGAAAGAAGAAACAACAACAGAATTTTGAAAAACTGAAAGAGGATAAATGAGTGGCAAATGATTTAGCAGACCCTCCAAATTTAAATTACTAAGTCAGCAGAAGGAAAGCCAAGAAACAATTTGTTGTACACTAAAAATTCCCCAAAGCTTTAGAAACTGGCAGCATCAGATTCTTCTCAAAGTGGGGTGAGGAGGAGAGACTCAAATAAGAATGAGTCACTGAAAGTTTTTTTAAGAAACAGTCAGAATCCTAGGTCCCTTCCAACCATGAAAAGCTGTACTACAGATTTCTGGCCTGGAAAATACGAACAGAGTCAAAATGGGGGTTCCTTTTGAAAATTGTGAGATTAAGAGAATGAATGCATCTGGGTTGCCAAGTCCTCTCCAATCTAACCATCTTGTCCTACCCAGCTCCAGAATATTAGAAGCTAGACTTTCCCTCTTCATTCAGGAGATGGGAGAGTTTTATCTGACCAGCCCAGGAGGAAAAAATTAAAAAGTGGTGACATTAAAGTTTCCCCATCTAAACCGACCAGCCACACACTCGACCGCGAGACTTATCGTATACAATCTCCATGAGTTTAGAGCTCCCAGTTAGCTTTTTAAATCAAACACTCTTAAATATGAACAGACAACTAAGCATTACTGTGTTACTAAATACCCAGGGGAAACTTGTAAAGTGAAGGAAAGAAATAAAAACACAGAAAAAAGCAACTTAGAGAAAAAAGAGACTATGCAGGGAGGAAAAAAATCTCCAACAAATGACCATTACTATTCTCAGAGATATTTAAGAGAAGATATTCCAATCATAAAACAAGAACAAATACTGTTAAAGGAATTCTCAGAAAACAAAAAAGAGGTCTGGGAAATTAAAAGCTATGAAAGCAGAAACGAAAAACTGAGAAGTACTGGAAAATAAAATTGAGAAAATTTTCCAGAAAGTAGTACAAAAAGACAAAGAGATGGATAATAAAAGTAGGACTAGGACTAATATATGAGATCCAACATCCCAACAACTAATATATGAGATCCAACATCTGAGATTCTTCTCAGAAAGAATCTGAGAAGTTGGATGGGAGGAAATCATCAATGAAATAATTTAAGAAAATTTCCCAGAACTGAGGATATAACTTTCAAGATTAAAAGAGTACCCAGAACAACAACAACAACAACAAAAACCCAACCCATTGCTGTCAAGCCGATTCTGACTCATAGCAACCCTACAGGATAGAGTAGAACTGCCCCATAGGGTTTCCAAACAGTGACTGGTGGATTTGAACTGCTGACCTTTTGGTTAGCAGCCAAGCTCTTAACCACTGCTATTTCAATACTACAGAGAGAGAGAGAGAAAAGGAATATTTTTAAAAGATCAGGAATGAGAATAGCTTCTCACTTCCCCAGAGCAAGGGGGAGGTATAGGGAATGGAACAAAGCCTTTAAGAGCTAACATGAGTGATTTCCAACCAAATTATAAATCATATATGAAAGTAAAATAAAGACATATTTAGAGACGTGAGGTCTCAAAACTTTTACTTCCCATGTACCCCTTTTCAGGAAGCTTCCAGAAGATGTGCTTCACCGAACAAGAAACTAAACAAAGTAGAAGACCAAGGATACAGGACAGAAGATGTACACAGAAGAGTGGCGATAGCAAACCCAGGATGATGGTGAAGGGAAAGCTCCAAGATGACAACCCTACAAATGCCAGTAAATTTTCGTTAGTCCTTAAACTAGCAAGACAGATTTGGCCTGCCCCACATGCACAGAAGGGCAAGCTGTGACCGTTAATTGACCTCAACAGAGGACGCAGCATGAATCGGAAAAAAAATCATCACCCGGACCCTATTCTGAAGTGAGAGGTCCAACAAGAACCATGTCACCTCCTGTTTCCTGGCCACCTTCTAGAATTTTCCTTCCCTAGCACACTTGCGTGGCTGCCATCTTGCTGCCCAAATCACATATAAGGTCTGCTTCCCCATAGCTTGGGGAGTCAGATCTGAGGAGGTTCCTCCCGGCTCCTTGCTCTGCACATTGCAATAAAGTTACTTTCTCTTTCTCAAAGACCAGTGTCCAGATCATTAGCGAGTCTGAGCGCACCAGACAGAACTCACCTTCCTGGGTTCGGTAACCATTTTGGAGACCCATTTGGGGTCAGAGTGTCGCAAAGACCCTCTGTCCAGAGACAGACACCCCCTTGACCTCGAACAAAACTTCCACTGACCCTCAGCACTGACCCAAGCCTCTTGTTGGGGAGGATCAATTGGGTCTCCTAACTGCAACCAAGGCGGTGACCAGCCCAAGGCGCTTTTACTTTGAGAATTAGAAACTAAGGTATGGACATCAACTAGGTAAGTGCCCTCGAAATTTCTCTTGTTAAGTGTAAGTGCTTGGGATTGGAGGTGGGGAGGTATCTGGAGGGTTGAAAGTAGGACTAAGATATCCTGCTTTCTAGTTGCTCCACCACTCTCCCTAGCCAACAGCAGAGAATGTGCACCCTAGTTTCTGGTTGGCCATGGCCCTGGTTCTGGTTCTGGCTCTGAGGTGAGGAGGTATCTGGAGGATTGAAAGTAGGGCTAAGATATCCCCCTTAAGGGAGATTGAAGCCCCACTGAGACATCCTCGTTACTTGCTCCACCACTACCCCTAGCCAACGGCAGAGAACGGGCAGCCTAGTTTCTGGCTGTTGAGCTTGGTCAGGTTCAGGTTCTGGCTCTGAAATTAAAATTGAAAATTTTTTAAAACACAATCAATTTAATAGAAGACAGGAAACACGAATAGAAAAGGGAAACTAGATGCATGATAATTAAAGACGGGAAGAATAAGAATAAGATCCAACAGAAGCAACTAGGTAAGAAGGATATAAAAAGAAAGGGGTTAAAAAGGTTGTATATCAAATTAGTGAGATAAACTGATTTCCAGCAGTGAAAGTTAAGATGGAATAAAGCACTGAAAGGGTCTTGATGACCTTGAGAGAATGGAAAGGTGTTAAGAAAATCAATCAGAGTTAGTCTGAGTACTAGTCAGCAGGTGGTGCTGTCTCCCTTGGATAGCAAGGTTGCTGTCTAGCGCAGGCACATTGTGAGTGAAAAGGAAAACAAAAGTGTAAGGAGCCATTTGTATATATGGACATTTTCAAGCTGAGTGCTTAATCTTGAAAATTACATGTATGTTCACTGTATTATCCAACATTGAAATGTTTCTATATTCAATATATCAATCGACAGTTCAACAGGGCTAGTGATATGTCTCTGTTGAGCAAAAATAATTCTGGAGTGAACTAAACCTCATAATTCAAAAAAAATCCACAAAAGCACTAGGTATCTATAAAATTTTCCAACAACCTCTTGATATATATTTAATTGTCTCAATTTCCAACTTTTACGGCAAATATTCTTATTCTATTGTATTATTTTTTATGTTTGTCTAATCACTAGAATTGTAATATTATATCATTTTTTAAAATGGATAGTATTTCAGTGGCATGATAGATTAAATAGTTTTTGCTGGCCAGTCTGGAAAATTAACTATTGAAAGAAGAGGAAAAGAGAGGCCAAAATAAGCAATAAAAAATTGGAAATATTTTGATTGCTATTTTAATTATAAATTTTGTAGAAAATTTTTATTATTTCAATTCTTCATGTGTATTACTGATCACTTTTAATAAATAGAGTGAAATGCATGCGTATAAGAACAAAAGACTGACAGGAAAAAAATAAGTAGTTATCTCTGGGTGGTAGAATTAACTAAATTTTCTAAATAATTTAGAATGAATGTGTATTACTCTTTATTACTAAACAGATAAGAGTTAGGTTCTGTTGTTGTTTTTAAAATTAGACCAGTATATTTTTAAAATTGGACCAGCATTGTCAGGCAGGATATAAAACTAAATTGCCAGACAATATCCAAATCTATTTATTATGTGCCCCTTAGAAGTGTTGTAGGGGAAAAACATCACAAAGTTTAGCAAAGTAAAAAGAAAGTTTTATTTGGCATATATTCAAAAGGACAAAAGTGGGAAGCGGACAACCATGCCACCAGAGCCATGTCTGCCCGAGTCCAAGGAAGTATCACAGAACAGACAAGAGTGGGAAAACGGACAAGCATGCTTCTACAGCCATGTCTGCCCAACACCAAAGAATATTACAGAATGGGCAAGAATGGGAAAATGGACAAGCATGCTGCCGAAGTCATGCCTGCCCAACTCCAAAGAACAGTTACAGAATTATCAGTATATATCAACATCACAAAATAGGTAGAATCATTGCAAGAGTCATTTTTTCACTGATTGGCTAGAAATTGTAATCTTACATTTTGAATCACCTTTCTTAACAATCATTGGTACAGGTTTCAGTAATGACAGTCAGGAGGGTCTTCATTGGTCCAACAAATTCCTATTCTCTAAATGTTAACAGAAAAAGACAAAAGGTGAGAAGTCTTTTGGGTTAGGTTTTATTGCCCTTTTGTGAAAACTTCCTTAAGATAATTTCTGAGATTGTCCTATCTGTTGTCTTATCTCAGGGCCCAGGTGATGTGTCTTTGTGAGTCTGTGAGGGCCCAGGGTCACATTCTGTATGCTCAAGGAGAGGTAATAATAACTCCAGTATTATTTCCTAAATCAGTAGTGAGGATGGTGAGACTCCAATTCACTTACTTTGGACATGTCGATAGGAAAGATCGATATCTAGAAAAGGATATTATGTTTGGTAGAGGGCCAACAAAGAAACGAGGGAAACCCTCAGTGAGAGATTGACACAACAGCCACAATGGACTCAAACATACCAACAGTCGTGAAGATGGTGCAGGACCTGGCAACATTGCTTTCTATTTTATGTAGGTTCACCATGAGTAAGAGCGACCGGAGGGCAACGAACAACAACAATTAGCACAGTTATGAGAAATTGGGGGGTGGGGGTGGGGGAAGACACAGATGCTATGAAGTACAAGCTTTACAAAATGTAACATCCTAAATGTTGCCATCAATTTCCTTATTTTAATGCCTGCAGCCTTCTCTCTAGTTTCCAGGTTTACTAAAAGTAGATGGTGTGTGAATGTCACAGATTCAAAAAAAAACAAAATATATATTTTCAGTATGGGTTAATCACGTTCTTTTCTTCCTTGAAAAGAGTGGTTATCAGGCAGGGGGTTTAGGAGGAAGAAGTGGAAAAATATGAGTCACAGGAACAAAGCTATTATACCACTTGCAAGGTGTCCGTATAAGCACTTAAATACAGTTCAAAGTTAACAACGTCTATAAAACTAAAGACGCAGCTTACTTGAATGAACTTGGTCAATATTTGTTTACCATTATTTCAGCTATTCTTCATGTAGACAGACACTTTTTATCTTTCAGAAGAAATCACTGTCCATAACTGAAAAGTAACTTAACTGTGAAATGATTTTATTTAAATTATTATCCTTTTATAGTTTTTGAACATTTCATATAAATAAATTAATCTTTATGCACACGATGGCTTATCTACAGCTTCTCTATTCTTTAAAATGCCAAAGACATCTTTTCCTAGCATGAAAATATTAAAGGCATTCTGCTATCACATGATTTATTAACAGAATAAGAAAATTAATCTTATTTTAAGCAAAAGCAGAAATATAATTAGCTAAAACAAGAAAAGTGTGACAATTGTCCATGAACTCTTCATTCAGATAATATATCTATTTTGGGAAATCATGAGACTGGAGTAAGACAAAAATATGAGAAGAAATTAGGCTTCTCTAACTACTTACTGTTGAATACTAGGGAGTGAATGTTTTCATGGCTTTTTCAAGACCTATATGAATGAAATAAAAAGCTCTATCAGTTATTATTAGCAACTGTCCATTTTACAGAAAGAAAATAGGAGTGTCATTCATTATAGTTGGTGTTATGTGCAAAGACTGAATTTATCTGATTTCCCTTCATGCTCTGCTCTTCTTTTATAGCTCTAAGCTGCACACAATATGGGATTAGTCTTTACCACATGCTCCTGCAGATTCTTTGTTTCACTGAAAGCCTAGGAGTCATTTGCTCCAGAACTTTCAACATCTAAGAGCTGGCATTCCCAACCTGTTTCTCCCAACTTTGAACTTGCTGAGCCTCTAGCTCAAGGCTAAATTTGTTAAAAATTAGTGTGCTTATATTTTCATTTGGATTTAAATTTACTAGGACAGAAGGCCTTTGTTTTTATTTTATCACACTGAGAATATCATGTTTATTATATTATATATTTCCCTTCTTTTAAGATACAGTAAAGTAATGTTCATTGTGATGTGAGTTATTGTGTAAGATTTCATAATATGTTGGAAAAAATAATTATCTAAAATTTGTTGCATATACATGCTCAGCTTTGTCTGTGTATTTCTGTGTGTATGTAGAAAATAGAAAATGGTCTAGATTTGAAGAAAATGCACCAACAATGTTAAATGTGATTATTTCTGAGGAGTGGGATTACACATGAGTGTTCTTTTCTTCAGTATGTTCCTCTATTTTATGGTTTTGTTTGGTTTGGGTTTTTGCAGTGAGCATATCTTACTTCATAATTAAAAAATAGCTTATTTCCAAAAAAAACCATTGAGCATTTTGTATAAGACTACACTAAGTAATTTGAGGAATAAGAAGAAGAACTGTGTCCTTGACCTCTCAGAGCTTTTAATAAGTCACAAATAAATTGATAATCACATCTAGTATTTTTTGCCTGTTATGTGTCAAATACTTTCTCAATTTACCTCACATACCCTATCTCCTTTAATCCAAACATACAAAAAATTTGTAAATGTGTAAA